CCTTTGCTGAGAGCTGTTAGATAACTGGTTGACAGCCTGATAGAAGGAGCAGGCAGTTCAAAAGAGACTGGGGAAAAAAAGATTCGTGCCTCATGAGTCTCTTGGCTGTGATGTTGTAATCACCTATGGTGATTTACTCAGAACAAAAAAGATCAAATATGACCTCGGGGTAACAATACGTATTGTTGGGGAGGGATAGTTTTAATGTACTTTTTGTTCTAGCTCGTCAACTGCCAGTAACCTGTTTATAGGTATTTGTAAGGTAACTCATTTACCTTATTTGTCACATAACATACTGTGAAAATAGTTTGAATAAAGTTTACAATGAAAACACAGCTTTTGAAGAGCACTCATAACTTTCCCTTTCAAAACTGCCTTGCACGTGGTTTTTGAGATTAATTGATTTAAATATTGCTTCTCAGTTGTTCAAAAAATATAATTTTATATGTGAACTAAAATTTGTTGCATTCAACTGTCAAAATTCAAGGGTTGGCTATGTAGACGAGCATGTCTAACTTTTTGTCAAACGAAAACAATAAATGTTTATGGTAGACAATTTTGAAAATAGAATAATTTGCCAAGAAGAATAACCAATTTTAATCCCACATGTAATGCCTGGCACGTGTCAGCCACTCACATGTATGTTCAGTGAATATAGAGACAAATACTATTAATGTCATTTGGGTGTATATATGTTTAGTGTTTTTTTTTCCCCTCATGTGTATTTGTCTTTTTTTTTTTTTTTTTTTTTAAAGAAAATGGATCAAAACATGCAAATACAATATAATTCTTTTTAAATTTTAAAAAATGTATTTACCTTTTGGCGTTTTTATTATTATTATTCTTTCATGATAGCTGAAAGTGTTGAATTTGCCTATGGCTCTTAGCAATAGGGCAACCTAACTGTTAGGCATGTCTGCTAAATGACTGTATATAAATTCATTAGGAAATAGTTGCTCTGGACCCTTACATATTAATATGACCTTAATTAACTCCATTCAGTTCTGCATAAAAATCTCTGGGCTAGGGTCTTCTGTCCCTACTGCCTACACCTGAGTTTAGTCCATCCTCTCAGTCCTGGCTGATTACCTTAGTCTCCTCCTTGTTGCAGTCTGACTCCATACAAACTCACCTGCTCACTCTCCCTTGTTCCCTACATGAACCATCTGCTCCAGCCAAGAGGCTTTGCCATTGTTCCCCAAACCTACCATTTTAAGGCCCACCTCTCCTCCTCTTCGTATTGTTCTCCTGTCTGGCATACATACCCCTTCTTCACTCACTGATTTATTTGCTTTGAGGCCCAGCTCCGAATCCTGCATTTTCTGTTAGCCTGCCCTGCATATATTAATAAGGTATGTGGTCGTGGGAGACAGTATTCTGGGATGTCACCCTTTGGAGAAGGTTATAGGTAGTTGTACGTGAATAGTCTGTTTCTCTTGTGAAGACCTATGGTTGACTCTTAAAACTTCTAAGTTGATAGTTATCATACAACTAAACTCCTTCCCCCTCCACAGAAACACAAGAGAGAAAGAGAAAGGGAGAGAAAGAAATTAGCATATGTTTTCCCTGACAGTTTTCTTCTCTGATGCAATTAAAACTGTTCAAAAAACTCGTGCAGGTTAGTGTTAGATCCCCCCTGATTTTCTCTATTGGGATAACTTGGCTAACTTGGTTTCATCAATTCTCTGAGTTTTGATTATATTTCCTCCTTCTGTCATCAAACTCTGCCTTCAACATTAACCAAATCAGTGGCTGTTGAGTTGATTCTGACTCATGGCGACCCTGTGTGTTTCATGGTAGAACTGTGCTTAGGGTTTTCAGTGGCTGATTTTTCAGAAGTAGATCACCAGGATTTTCTTCTGCAGTGCCTCTGGGTGGACTCGAACCTCCAGCCTTTCTGTTAGCCGCTGAGAGCATTAACTGTTGGTACCACTCAGGGACTCTGGCCTTCAGCATCACTTATGTTGTATTTAAAATATGCCTGTGGGTGAGAGCACCAACACTAATCATTTGACATACATTCATCTGGGCCATTTGTTAAGTCACAGCTCTGACCTTGACTTAAGTAAATGTAGTTGACATCTTGTAGTTTTTAGACCTTCTAAGTATTATTTTTTCTCTTTAACCAATTTATAACAGCCAATCTAGTAGCAGAACTTTTGTTGTTAGTATTCCTATCTGCATATGAGGAAGCCACATAAATAGTTAAAAAATTTTAAAAAGGCATGGCCCCTGCTTTCAAGGTCTTACTACCTACTTAGCTCTTGAACAGTAAGTGTTGGATACAGACCTGCAGTGGGTAGCTGCTGGAGCCAGTAAGACTGGAATTTAGGTGCTGGCCCCTCAACTCTGGCATTGTGAGCATCTTACTTCCTTGAGCCTCAAGTTCTCCTGTGAAATGAATAGGGGTTATGAGGAGGATCAGCAGAATTTCCTCCCCGCTTCTTTCCTTTGCAGAGTCTAGAGAAGGACTCTGAGGACTAGGGAAGTCAGCCCAGGCCTTCCTGAAGTGATGCAGACTTGAGCTGGGCCTTGAAGTTAGGTGGAGAGGAGAAGAAAAGGCATTTAGGGTGAGGGGAACCAGTTGAGCAAAGGCATGGAAACAAGTCCATAGAGAGCCCTGAGAGCTTAAGCAGGGTGGAGCTTGACAAAGCAATGCATAGAAACTGAGTCTGGTAGTTACGTGTCAGAAGGATTACAGGGGAGAGAGTCTGGAGTCAGGCGAGGAAGAAGATTCTTGTAATCTAGGCATGAGATGACAAAAGTATGAGTGAGGTAGGCATTCAGGCAGTGGTATAGAAAGAGCAGATATAAGGGGCATTTTCAGGGAGGAGTCATCAGAACTTGGTGTTTGAAGCTGTGAGGCTGTGGGATGAAAGACATTACAAGGCTTTATGCTGGGCACTTATCATGTCATTCATTCATTCGTTCTTAAAATACTTAAATTGAAAATCTACTGCTGTTAAGGTTCTGGTCTAGGTACTTGGGGTTAACCACCAAATAAACCAAAAACCAAACCTGTTACCATCGAGTTGATTCCAACTCATAGCGACCCTGTGGAAGAGAGTAGAACTCCCCCCATAGGGTTTCCAAAGAGTGAGTATAGATCCGAACTGCTGAGATTTGGGTTAGCAGCCGCGCTCTTAACCACTGTGCCACCAGGGCTCCGACCACCAAATAAAAGAGAAAAATTCTTGCTCTTTTTGAATCTTACTTTCTGGTGTTAATTGTGTTAAAAATTTAGTGGAGCAATTTTGGGTTATAGAGACGTCATTATCTAGTTTATGATTCTTTTATCATATCATCTCTAAGTCAAGTGGGAAATGTCAGTTAAAGCATATCCAGCATCTTCACAAAGTCAGTATACAGTATTTTCACGTTTCAGGGCTGTAAAGATTAGAATGAAACTGTTAAACTAAAAATGCTATATTTCACAGATCCAAGGAAGTGGTACTACTATAGATTTAGTCATTTGCCTCATAGTTAATAAATGTCAAGGAAGGTCATGAAGTTTGTAGAGTTGTGAAAGATTCCTTTTGTAGACTTTGGTTGGCATTAAAATTAGGTTTATTTAACAAACAAAGAAACCCATTGCTACCGAGTCAATTCTGACTCATAGAGACACTATAGGACAGAGTAGAACTGCCCCACAGAGTTTCCAAGGAGCACCTGGTGGACTCGAACTGCTGACCTTTCGGTTAGCAGCCATAGCGCTTAACCACTATGCCACCAGGGTTTCCTATTTAACGAGGAAGAAGTAATTCAGTTAAACAAGACATTAATACTTAGTGGTTTTGTTTCAGGTGGTTGTATTTGTTGGCTTATTCTTGAAGTAGTGCTCTGATATTTTCAAGTTTTCAGTCTGAATTTTCTTCATTTTTCTAAGGTGTAAAAATTTGTTAGTACTAGATAATTTCTGTCAAAAAATGTTGACATAGAAATAAGTTTGAAAACTAAAACATCTAATTTTCTACAGTGTTTTTTTTTATTGTGCTAAAATATATACAACACAAAATTTGCCATTCTAACTATTTTTAAGTGTACAACTCAGTGACATTAATTACGTTCACCATCTTGTGTAACCATCATTCCTATCTATTTCCAAAAGTTTCACATCATCAGAACACAAACTCAGTACCCCTTAGGCAGTGACTTCCCATTCTACCTCCCCCCAGCCCCTGGTAACCACTAATAAACTTTGATCTCTATGCATTTGCCTATTTTAGATACTTCATTTAAGTGGGATTATACAGTATTTGTCCTCTTCTGTCTGGCATATTTCACTCAGCATAATGTTTTCAAGGTTCACCCATGCCGTAGCATGTATCAGAACTTCATTTCTTTATGGCTGCATAATATTCCATTGTATGGACACAGCACTTTTTGTTTACCCTTCATCTGTTTATGGATACTTGGGTTGTTTCCACCTTTTGGCTATCGTGAATAGTGCTGCAATAAACTTTGGCGTACAAGTCTCGGTTTGAATCCCTGCTTTCAAGCATTTTGGGTATATACCCAGGAGTAGAATTGCTGGGTCATGTGGTAATAATCTGTGTTTAACTTTCTGAGGAAGCACCAAACTAAACTGTTTTCCCCCACAGTGTTTTAAAAGCTTGAATCACAAAAACATTATCTAATTAAAATTATAATGCATTTAAATATTTTTATGATCCTTTTAGGAAAACTTCCCTCCCTTTTGTTTAATGTAACTACTTGTGTTTCAGAAAGTTTTTATGGTAACCACAGTTAATCCACTGTAGTAATAGTCCAGAGTATAAAGATTATTTACAGTTCTTCAGGAGAACAGTAAAGGTGGGTTTGGACCTAGTAGGACTGATAGGTTTTCATGTAATAAGGGAATATTTAAAATATCCTAAAAAAAAGATTAAAACTTTAAGCTGCTTTAAATATATTACCACTCAAGTGTATGAATTTCTCAGTTTAGCAAAATCAGATGTTCTTTTCTTAAAGATGACTTGATGTTTTTAAATTTCCTTCAGGTAAAAGTGCAGTTTTAAAGTGTCTCCTGGATATTCACAAAATTTTTCAGGAAAACGACCCAGCTTACATTCTGAATGATCTCTACATCTCAGACTACTGTGTGTGGATTCAGAAAGCCAAGTAAGTTTTTAGTTTCTTACGAATTTTTAGATGTCACATTTCTGGAACACCTACCCACCTAGGAGGAAGAAAAGGAAATAACCTGGGGAATAAATTTTAATACCAAACAGTAACTTGATCAATGTGAGCATGGTATATTTGCTTTGGGAGGGAGGTGCAGGTGGGGAAAAATTAATTTTAGTGGAAAAAATTGGTATAATTTTTATACCAATTGGTGTTAAACAGTTGTGGGTATTCTTTGCTAGTGCAGTAACTGTCCAATGTGGAATCTCAAGACTGGGTATCTGTACTTGCGTCTGTAATTTACCTATAGTGTGAGTGTGAGTGTCTGTATGTGTATGAACGTCAGAGGACACAAACCTAAAGAAAATGAGAGCTGAGCGTTATTAGCTAACCACTGGCTCAGAGTCCATTATTCAGAGTATCAAAAGCAGAATCTTCAGAGCATGGTAGCGTGATTCTTGGTAACATATATATCCAGGAGTCTGTGGTCCACTCACAAATGGGCTCTTTGCATTTGGTTTGTAAATTTTTAAAAAATCATTTATCGTTGCCTCACTCAAGGAAATAGTAGATTAACTATTAAGTTTAAAAATGCAGTGAATTTTTTATTTTGTGAAGTTCTGTTGATTTGAATCTTATCAGACATGGCCAAATTATCCCTTTCAGTAGCAAGAGACTATTAATTGAGAACATAGAAACACAGAGTTCGTTATTGGAATGAACTGTCATAGAAGATGATGGTTAATACCAATCGTGATTTAGAAGAAAAATACTCATGATATTTTTACTGTTACCATGATTGGTAAGTTGATGCTTTGGTATGACTTTTAATGCCTATTTTGAGTGAAACATGTAAAAGAATTTATTTTTTATTTCTGTTCATGGAGAAGAAATTATATTGCAGAGCAAAATAAGGAAAAACTTAAGGATTATACCTAGTGTATGGCAAATTCTTAGGGACTGTTAAAGATAATGGATAATAACATACAGCAGGTGGTATCAGCATTTGTGTTGGAAATCTAGACTCAGCCAGATGGAAAATTGTATCTTTAACTCCTGAAGTCATAATGGCACGTCCTCACTTCATTTGATCCTCTTGCTAATTGAGTTTATCAGATGCCCTGCTGCCATTTTCCATTGTTACTTTCATTTTCATAATAAAATTAAATTGAAATAGTCTATTTGTGTAGGTTTAGGTTTTTCTTTAAGGGCAAGGATTTTTTTCAACATGTAACGAGCCTTGAGGTTTGTGCTAGGATCCCATTTCTGTGAGTGTCTTGATTCTCTGGTTGTGACATTCCTTATTAACTATCAAGAAGATCAGAATTTTTTTTTTTTTTTGCTGTAAAATATTAATGAATGTGTTTTTTTAAATTGTACTTCAGATTAAGGTTTACAGAGCAAATTAGTTTATCATTAAACAATTAATGCACATATTGTTTTGTGACACTGGTTGCCAGCCACATGACATGTCAGCACTCTCCCTTCTTGACCTTGGGTTCCCTATTACCAACTTTCTTGTCCCCTCTTGTCTTCTTGTTCTTGCCCCTGGGCTGATGTGCCCATTTAAACTCGTTTTGTTTTATGGACCTGCCTAATCTTTGGCTGAAGGATGAACCTCAGGAGTGACTTCAGTACTGAGTTAAAAGAGTGTCCAGTGGCCATATTCTCAGGATTTCTCCAGTCTTTGTCAGACCAGTAAGTCTGGTCTTTTTTTGTGAGTTTGAATTTTGTTCTACATTTCTCTCCAGCTCTGTCTGAGACCCGCTATTGTGATCCCTGTCAGAGCAGTTAGTGGTGGTAGCTGGGCACCATCTAGTTGTGGGGGACTCAGTCTGGTGGAGGCTCTGGTAGTTGTGGTCCATTAGTCCTTTGGACTAATCTTTCCCTTGTGACTTTGATTTTCTTCATTCGCCCTTGCTCCAGATGGTGTGGGACCAGTGGATTATCTCAGATGGCCGCTCATAAGCTTTTAAGACTCCAGACTCTACTCACCAAAGTAGAATGTAGAATGTTTTCTTTATAAACTAAGTTATGCCAGTTTAGCTAGATGTCCCCCGAGAAGATCGGATTTCATTAAAGTAAAAAGGTGTATGCCCTCAAATTGATGTGGGGATTATAAGACTTTCTTTCTCTTTCAAAAAAAAATTTCCCTTGGTTTTAAGTTGTGGGAAATGAAATGAAATTCTTAGATTCTTAATAAATTGTTGTGATAATAGTAATTTTTTAAAAGGGATAATGTATTAGGCAATAAGATAGGGGAGAGAAACCTGCAGGAACTATCTTTGCATTACTTTGGAAAAGTTGTTTTTTAGCTTCACTAGCTTGAATATAAAGCTCCTTTTCCTAAATAGGTGGGTAGTGTTTTAACTTTATGTATTAAATTTAACTCTTGTCTAGCCTAGCTAGTTTTTCTCCTACTTTATTGAAGCTTTGAAATAAAATGCTTCATTGTTCATTTATCTAATTTTTATTAAATTTTCTAATTTCATCTTTATTTTTTCAAGCGTAATTGAGCTTACTATTATCATTTTTACCGTGAACTTTCTTGGTCGTCCTTTGACACTGCAGGTGTGGCCATGATTTTCATAACTGATTTCTTATTTCTCACCTCTCACCTCTGGTGTATTTCTTCCCCATATAGTTTATCAGTGAAATCTAGCACCTTATTGTTATGTTTTAAAATAGTTATGTATTTTTTTAGTCAATATTTGATATTTTTAATTGTAAAGATAAAGACTGTAAAATTCTATTTGAAATACCAGACAGGTGCTAAATTCTGATGAACATAAAGAATAGACAGTTCCTTTGGCAAAAACTTACTGGAATGTGGGTAGAAAGTCATTCTTATATAGAATTAATGAAGTTAGGGCAACAGCCATCATAGATTTTGCCTCAGTACCAGATAGTTACTATCCTTGTGATATTTGTGTCTTGTAGAGCATATTTGCAAATCTTAATAATTTGAAGCTCCTCAATTCTTATTCTGAGTTATAGACTCTGTGAGTTGTTTTTCTGAAAGAGCACTCCCTCCATCCATCACTGTGAGCCTCACTGCAGGTTTGGAATATGGGGGCCCACAGTAGTGAATGCTCTCTGGGGTGCAGCATGAGAAAGTGATTTGCTTGAGGTCATATGACTTTAAGAGGTATATCTGTGGTAGTCTCAAGTCCTCTGGTTTCAGATATCATGTTTTTCCACATATGCCACCTAGACTTAGACAGCCAGTTATCTTCATCCATGGTATGTGGAAGAAAAGCAAAATAGCAAAGCCCTCCCTTCAGAGAGCTCTTCTTGTAGGAAAACGACTAATGAATGATTTGGCTTCCTCCTGGATGTTCCCATAGCACTTAGTTTAGAGATCATTTGGGCACAGTCATTGCCTGCCTCATAGTGTAGTAATTTAGGTATATATCTCTTTCCCCCTCTGAACTTTCAAGGTCCATGAGAATGAACACCTATTTGTGCCCAATAGGTGAGCACAGTAAATTTTAGTTGAGTTGAATGGTATTTAGTAGAGCCAAGCAAAGGAACATTTCTCATTTTGTTTAAAAAAATTGTACGTATGTATGTGTGTGTGTGTGTGTGTGTGTGTGTGTGTGTGTGTGTGTGTGTGTGTGTGTGTATACATATGTTGCCTTGAAATGTATGGACAGGCTCTAAGTTATTTTTATTGAAATTGTTGGATACATTCAATATACAGTTTCCCCCTTTTCCTAAGTCTTCTCCTCGTGGGCTGCCATCATCAGTAGCAGTGATAGCTCTGACCCTCTGAAAGATTAGCGGTGTACACCATTTTATCTAAGCTGGGATGGAAAAGAATGAACTGCAGTTCATTTTAGCTCTGCTTCTTGACCATATGACCTCAGCAAGTTGCTTTATCACTTCATCTAATGCAACCAGTATTTTCTTTAGTTATTTTCCAATGCATTTATTTATGTATTTTTATTGTGGTAAATATGTATGTCACAAATCGTTCGCCTATTCAGCATTCTTCACATGAACAATTCAGTGATTCCAGTGTACTTGTAAACCAATGGAAATAATACTGCAGATGTTATTTTGTAACCCACTTTATACTTGAAATGTTGTTGTTGGTAGTTGCCATTGAGTGGGCTCTGACTCCTGGGACCTTATGTATAACAGAATGAACCTGGTCCTGCACCATCTTCATGATTGTTGGTATGTTTGAGTCTATTGTTGTAGCTATTGTATCAATCCATCTTATTGAGAATTTCTCTAGTTTTCGCTGGCCTTCTACTTTATCAAACATGATGTCATTTTCTTGCAATTGGCCTTTCCTGATGACGTGTCCAAAATAAGCGAGTTGAAGTCTCACCATCCTTGCTTCTAAGGAACATTCTGGTTGTATTTTTTCTAAAATTAATTTGTTTGTTTGTTTTTTTTGCAGTCCCTGGTCTATTCACTATTCTTATAATACCCAAAAACCAAACCCATTGCTGCCAAGTCGATACTGACTGATAGCAACCCTGTAGGAGAGAGTAGAATTGCCCAATAGGGTTTCCAAGGAGCAGCTGGTGGATTTGAACTGCTGACCTTTTGGTTAGCAGCTGAGCTCTTAACCGTTGGGCCACTAGTGCTGCATACTAATGATAGTCCCCTGTAAATCATTTCCCTTTGTAACGTAATATCCATAGGATAGTATTTTTTTAGTAACAGATTTATTCCTTATTATAAAAGGAGCACATGCCCACTCAAGAAAATTTGATACTATATAGTTTAAGTGCATGCTACATTTTAAATGACTTTTGTGTTCTTTCATGTACAATAAGGGATCGAGTAAGGCATTTTTGTGTTTTTGCTAAATGGAAAATTTTTATGTCTCTTTTTAAAAAAATGAAATTAAAATCTAAAATTATGACTGTTTTTGATAAAAATCTGAGCTTGTTAAGGTGCTAAATCACACTTTTCCCCGCATTATATTTTTTTGAGGTAGTTAGTTGGGGGGAAAAAGAAAAAAATGTATCTTTCGAAAC